AGGACGAAGGAACATAAGTACAATATAAAGAAAAGAAACATCGATAAATCGAAACTAGCTGAACATATTCTTACTGAAGACGGACAACATATGGCAGAGTGGAATAATATTAAAATCATTGGAAAAGAAGATAACAACCAGAAGAGAAAAATCAAGGAATCTGCTTGCATTCTTCTGAACGGAGACAATAGCATTGCTTCTTGTTCAGTTGATATAGACAGAACATGGTATTCACTACTAAAATCTGAACATGAAAATGGTAAATTCAAGATTAATTAATGAAAACATCCTGTAACTCCTTTGATGGCCAACGTCACCAAGTGTCATTGAGAACTGAAAAGCTTCAAGACATACCTATTATACGACTTCGCAATTGAAAAAATCTCTTCATGTTGAAAACGGGAGCAGAATCGGTCCCGAAACGTCCAAAGATAAGTGAAAATTTGATATTTTTTCTATATACCTTTATTTCTCTTCTCCAAAAATTTTTCAATACAAATTGTCACTGACAAGCTAGTGAATTTTTCTTTTAGGCTCTCTGATAGGAAAATTCTTTAAACGCAGTGACATTTTGGGGCAGATCATCTGATTTGTCCTTACTACACGTATATTGAAATAATATTCATATTTTCATTTTATAGAAACGAGGAGAGAAAATCCCAAAAAATTTGGAATAGACAGTATTGATTGATCAATTCTTCTTCTATCTCTTCTAGTTTCACTGAAAACGACCCCAACTTTTGATTTTCAAATGGGACACCCTGTATTGTATTCCATAATCTGTTAGGGATTATCATGACGATTTCAACGATACCGGGTTTGATAGGGTTATTTCAAACGATTACAAAAATATTTGCGTTCGAAGATTCCATATGCTCAATGGGTGTGATTCGTAATATCAAAACTTCTTTCTTTGTCACAGCAGTATATGGAAATTCAGCGCGCGAATATCTGCGTAATCGTTTGAAATAACCCTATCAAACCCGGTATCGATGCATTCGTTATGACAATCCCTAACCGATCATGGAATACAGTACAGGGTGTCCCATTGAAAATTCAAAAGTTGGGGTCGTTTCTAAGTGATAGAGCAAACATTTTTTCGTTAATTATTGAACAATTTGGTTTACTAGCTGCCCACTTTCCAAAACCCTATTTCGAATAATTCAAAAGTTACAGTCCTGGCCGTTTTTTGTGCACTTCTCTGTATACCGTCAACCGGGGCTATACTGACTTGACTCACTAAACAAAAATAACAAACGTCTCTCGCCAGTCATTCAATTAGTAGCTTGCTGCCGTGCTGCGGAAAATCTCAAGGTTATCAGAAGGTTATAAGGTCCATTATTCCATATTATTTGGGATTTTTTCTCCTCGTTCCTATAAAATGAAAAATATCAATATTATTTCAATATACGTGTAAAGACAAATCAGATGATTTGCCTCAAAATGTCACTGCGTTTGAAGAATCTTCCTATCAGAGAGCCGAAAAATGAAACCTATATCAAAAACCAGTCTCAAAACGTACTATTTCAGCGTAAAAATCGAAACTTCTGATATTACTTCAAACACGGCAACACGGGGATATATCGGGCGACATTATTTAAAAAAAAATCGTGCCAACTTTCGTTGTAACTATGTCCAGTACGTTAACTTCTTGCTATAGAATGCAAGTTAGCTTTAATTTCGTATAACAAAATAAATGAAGGTATTGAAGGATTGAAAATATCATCCGATATAGCCCCGGCCGGTTTTAATAATAGACATTGGAAAAATTCTTCAATGTGGAAATTGACTCAGGGTCGCATGTAACATCATTTGTTCCACAGAAGTATTCTGAATCGATGTTTTTATTCTTTCAGCACTTTCTGATCACCGAATAAAATTTATTATAGTGAATCACCGTGAAAATTGAGGACTACTCTTAATTTGGAATGTTAATATGGTATTCCAAAGTTGTAATATCAGCCACACGAACATCGGAAGTTAATGAGCTATAGTCTTAATCCTAACTATTACATTAGTTTAATTTTTCATATTACAATAATGTAGATTTGGTAACCCCCTCCTTTTGATTGGACACATAATAATAAAATAAAAATACAATTTGATTACTTCTCACTACGCTTCATTGTGAAATTGTAGCTTTGTTTACAAGACCATGGTTTATTTGGATTGATCTTTCCGTAAGTGTTTCAGGTGATGATGAAGTATATTAATAATAATTTGATAACTACGGTTCAGTGTTATGTCGTTTTTTCACTCAATTATTTATCTCTCTTTGTATCTTATTACCATTCAAAACTACAGGTATACATCTTTATATAATAATAAATTAGTTAATGACATTGAAATACATTTGCATCGTTTTATTTTTCCATTCCTCCTTTGCTACCCGCGAAAGTGATTTTCAATAGGAAAGCTCAGCTAGCATTGAGAGAGAAAAAATGTGTCTTCCCATTCTGTCCTTGTCTTCAGGGTTCAAAAAAAAATTAATGATGAAAATATGTTGACAACACTAGGAAGGGAAAAAAGGAAGATTACCATTTCACCTATTTTTTTATTGAGATTCATTTGACCATCTTCTCCATTATTTTTCATTACTATAGCATTACCAAAGTGGAATTTTTATTATTTTATCCTGGGACACTGAAGACCAGGACAGATGGGGAAGACATATTTTCTCTTCCTCATAGCTAGCTGAACTTCTGTATTGTCCGGGTACAAGAATCAAAAAAACCCGAAAGAAGATACTGCGATCATAATCTCGGAACCCTTGAAATTATACTGCAATCAATAATATCGAAACCAGTATTATTGTTTTTGATACATTGTTATGATATTTTCGATGTCTGTAATAAAAAAAAATTATTTCATTGTATCACATTTTGTGTAACCTACACATAGTTGAAAAATATGAAATTTATTAGTTACTAACAATAATAGGCGAGAACACAATAGCACGAATTCAGTTCAAATGTGCATAATAAATAAATATAACATTGAAATAATGTGTACCAGTAGTTTTTTCAACAATAAATGCTGTCATTATCCAAAGAACGCGTTTGCAAAACCATACAAATTTGTGGACCATTCAAAAAACCAATAATGGCGGATACGTGATGACGTAACAAGTATTGGCGTGCATTTGGCAACGCTGTACTGTACCTTCAAAATATTCTACATATTTCCTAACCTAAGAAACCGAACTCCAAAACATCAGAGTTTTTCTTTGATTTTTCCTCTGAGGTCCACACAGTCAACAGTCCAGAAGATATCAAGCGACGTTGCCGGATCACCGTCTAATACTTGTCACGTCACATTAACGCGCGATATTCCAGCTCGTTTGAACGGGATCAATACTTTGCAAATTTTTTGTGGAAAAACTACTTCGAATAAAAATCTGAAAAAAATACCCGAGACTTTTATCGTCATACTAAAGGCCATGGTATTTTTTCCAGAAATTCGTGTTCTCGCCTATTTCACAAGAAGTGTCGTTTTCTTCCTGCTTCGTCAGAGCCCCACGTGATGAAAAATAAATCAATTAGGTAGGTTATAATAGTCCTAAATACATTTTCATTGTTTAATTTTCCTATCCCTACTTTGCTACCCGAGACAGTGATTTTCAATTCGAGGGGACACAAGAATCAAAATCAATAATTCATTAAAAATCCCTTTGGAGCATACTGCGATCATGATCTCAGAACCCTTGAAAGAATACATCTTTTCACACTTGTTAAGTATTGTCTATGTCTCGAAGGGAAGAAATTGATTTCAATTCAATTTCACTCGTTATATGTAACTTGTTTTGTACTTTTATACCTGCATCTGTACTCTCCAAATGTATCTCGATATTTATGATGAGTGTTCTTCTTATGAAGTATTTTTTTGCATTTTCCGCACATAGAACTATTCGAAAAATATAAAATTTCTTGCAAACTAACAGTATTTCGTTCATTTACAGGAAGTACAGTTATTTCCTTCCTGCTTCGTCATAGCCCCACGTGATCAAGGAACACCAGAGATAAACTAGATCGCTGACCAGCAAACCTGTGTTGTAAATGGATTCAGCTCATTGTGCTGATGAGACGCAATCCACCGAGAAAGCTTTCGAATTCAATATGAGCCTAAAAAGGTTCGCTAAAAAATCAAAATTGACTCAACACCATGGAGAACACGCTAGCGAAAAACCATTCGAATGTGACACTTGCTCGACGAAATTTAGCAAAAAGTGGCTTTTGAGTAGACATATCAGAGGGCACACCAACAAGAAACCCTTCGAGTGTGAAGTTTGCCAAAAGAAATTCGATGTGGAAAGAGATCTGATCACACACACAAGATTGCACACTGGTGAGAAACCGTTCGCATGTGATGTTTGCCTGAAGAAGTTTAGCTTGAAACGTAGTTTGCTCAGGCACGTTAGGGTGCATCATACTGGCGAGACTCCATTCCAATGTGTTGTATGTGGGAAGCAGTACTCACACAAGAGTACTTTGACTGAGCACTATAGAGTGCACACCGGCGAAAAACCGTTTGAATGTGACATTTGCTCGAAGAAATTCAGCAAAAAGGGGACTTTGAATGGACACATCAGAATGCACTTCAACGAAAAACCCTTCGAGTGTGAAATGTGCCAAAAGAAATTTACCGACAAGAGGAACCTGATCAGACACATAAGATTGCACACTGGCGAGAAACCGTTCGAATGTGAGGTGTGCCTGAATAAATTCAGACGAAAATATAATTTGCTCAGACACGTCAGGGTGCATACTAGCGATACCCCAGTCGGATGTGATTTTTGCCAGCAACAAATCTTCAGTAAGAGTGATTTGACTAGATACATTAAGGACTATACCGGCGAGATACCTTTTCAATGTGATAGTTGCCTTGAAGACTACAGATTGAAACTTGAGGTAACTAATGGGATTGCTGTCAAGGATGGTTCAAGCGGAAACATCTCTGAACAAATAGAAACTTGGGTCAATAATGAATTTGATGATGTGGAGGCAAAAGTGAAGAAAGAAGACCTTGAGGACACTTATTTACCAGCAGAATCTGCAGTTGACAATGCATTTGTGAAAAGTCACAGTAAAATTGATTTAGTTAAAATCGAGAATATAAAAGAAGAAGAAGACAGAAATAATGAGGAGACATAAGAATAGATCATATCGGAATGACATACTAATATATGTGTCTAGAAGGTATGTACAAGACGTTAACACAAAATTCTTAGGCTAAACCTAACCCAATACAGCTCTGTCCATTGCTAGTTTCCAATATACAGGATTGCATATCCAAATTTTCTGAGATTTGCACTCCTCGTTTCTTCAAATGAAAATATGAATACTGTTTCAATATACTTGTATTGATTACAAGTCAGATGGAAGGCCCCAAAAGGTCGCTATTGAAATCCTAAAAGACATATTAAATCGATATAGTCAGTGACACCGAGTTTGAAAAATGTTTGAATGGCGAATCTGCTCCGGTTTTCAACACAAGAATGGGAAATAATCGGAAATAATTCTCACAGTTGATCTATCCGTTTTCGCCTTTTGATACTTCTCAGTGACAGACGCATGTGTGAGTTGAAGGGTATTTTTTACTTGATTTCGAATATAGGTACTATTACGGGAACAGCTTATATCCCAAAACGTTCAAAGATTGATAAGTGATATTTCATATTTTACTTCATATATTTTCGAAGGAAGATGTCACTGACTATCGATTGAATTTCTCTCTTAGTTCCCTAACAGTAAAATTTTTAGTGCAGTGACATCTTGGGGCAAATTCTTAGATTTATTTATGTACCTAGTTCATATACACTCAGTTCCAAAAAAAGTGACGCACTTGATATTTGACCTATCTTCTTAAGAAAAAAATAGTAGGCCGATTTTTATTTTTTTTTATTTGTCGGTAAGTAATGCATTTGTCTTTAAAAAAAATAAAGAGTTGAAAATTTTTTCAAAGCTTCCTTGATGGTGGAATAACTCGAACCATGATTTATTCTTAATTTTTGACTCACCCTGTGTGTTAATTGAGTAATGGCATAGAAAGTGCTTGCACCCTATACGAAACAGACTTCTTTTGCGAGCATTTTGTTTTTTTATTCATTGATTTATCTCTAATTTTCCGAATTACAGCTTTTTTGCAGAATCCTTGCAGATTACCAACTTTCTGAATTTATCGAGACAAATTTTTTTAATGAAATGAACTGATACCAATAATTTTAAAAAAACATTTTTATTGAACACAAAATTGTAAATTGGGATGACTGCTTAATACCGTGTATTGTCTCCTCTAGCAACTCTAAGAAATTCTAATCTACGAGGCATACTGGAAATTAAAAGTTGCTTATCGTGTCCATTGGTATACGATCCCATTCTTCCACTAATGCATCTGCCATTTCTGCGAGACTTTCCGGAGACCTCTCGTGAGAACGTACCCTTCTCCCTAATTCATCCCACAAATGTTCTATAGGATTCATATCGGGGCTTCTCGCAGGCCATTGTAATGTGGTAATACCAGTGGCTCAATATAAAATTATTGCCCACTAACTCTGCATAAGGTAAGACATACTGCTCTAAAATGTCAATGTAAATTTGGCAATCATCGACTGCCTCACCGGAAAAACATGAAGGGGTGTCTTTCCATTCATTGAAATCCCTCCTCACACCATAACGGACCCACCATTAAAACTTTCGCATTCTGTTATTGAATTTTGATTAAACCGTTCACCAATTCTTCTCCACACTCTTTTTCTTCCATCCACCATGTTAAGGCAAAACCTTGACTCATCCGTAAACAAGACATTCGACCATTCAGGAATATTCCACTGTCCATAATTTTCGAAAAAATTTCTTCTAGCAGCACGATGTTGGGGCAATAATTTGGGACCTTTTGCAGGTCTCCTAGCTTTAAAATTAACTTCTTTTAGACGTCTACATACCGTCTGCTTACTTACTGCAACATCACGAATTTGGCGAAGATCTTGCTGAACATTTACCGCAGTATTTGATCGATTCCGTAAAATCCGCAATTTCAAGAAGCGATCATCTCTTGGAGAAGTTTTTCGGGGGCGACCAAAACCGACCCTCCGAGCGGTACTTCCTATTTGTTCGTACTTGCGGATTGCTCTACGAGCAGTTGCTTCATGAACTTCCACTGCACGAGCGGCGTAACGTTTACTACGCCCATCGTTAACTAACGCAACTAATCTTACTACTTGTTCAGTATTTATTTGAGGCATTTTATGTAACTTTAGTCAATAAAACAAGACACTTAATTAATGACTCAACGACAAATGGTCAAATATGGAGGCATACAACAAATTAGTTGCTATCGCAACGGCATTTGTTTTTTTAGAGACAATGTGATCCTACCAGAGTACAACCCAATCAATTTTGAGTACTCTGATCCTTCAATGAATTTAATTCGTGGGATAAGCGTAAGTTTATTTATTTATTTATATATAGAAAACTAACAGGTTCACACCTAATTACAAGTTTTCTAACCTAAACTAATCTATCCTAACTTCCACTTAGATCTACTTAATAGCAATAATCAATTGAAGAGCAAAAATTATAGAGCCAAAATTGAGCTGATGGGTTAAGTTGTATGATGTAACTTAGAGCCTTAGAGAATACAGGTATTGATTTTAATTACAGTAAATTCAACAAATCCTTCCGAAACTTGGCTAATTTGGTATCAAAAAAACAACTATTCATTCTGTCAACATACTTTTTACAGATTTGGAGAATACTGTTCATTAAAGAGCCACTTGTTATCGAAACATGAAAGAGTATGGGTCTGGGACGAAGTGTTCTTAAGGGTACTAGAATATTAATTTGACCTAAAAGGTACTCGCTCTCTATTGATCCATTCAAAATTTTGTGTATAAATTCCATTTTAAAAATAGTTCTTCTGTTCTCTAAATGTTGTATTTTAAACTCATCGCGTATTGGTTGGTAAGATTCGAACCTTGGATTCACTTTGTGTTGACAGTAGTACAGATATTTCAAGAATTTATTCTGCACAGATTCCAAATTTCTTTTCAAGACCTGAACGTGTGGATCCCAAATTATGGATGCAAATTCAAGACGGCTGCGAACTAAATAGTAATAAAGCAATTTGATCGATTCAATATTCCTGAATTCACATGTTGAACGTTTGAGAAACCCTAGCATTCTAAAAGCTTCACTACTCACGATATTTATATGCTCGGTGAACTTTAGATTTTCAGTGAAGTGTACCCCTGAAACCTTCATCGAGGAACATCTTTCTAGGATAGTATTGTCCATAGTATAAATGTAATGGTCAGGATTTCTGGATCGATGAAAAGTCATTATTTTACATTTATCAAAATTGAAATATAGTTTATTAACATTGGACCAACTGATAATATTGTCAATATCATTTTGTAGCACTAAGTAGCACGTTATTAGCAAAAAGGCTGTAATTCGGAAAATTTTAGAGATATATCAATGAATAAGAAAAACAAAATGCTCGCAAAAGAAGCCTCTTTCGTATAGGGTGTGAGCACTTTGTATATCATTACTCAATTAACACACAGGGTGAGTCAAAAATTAAGAATGAATCATGGTTCGAGTTATTCCACCACCATCAAGGAGGCTTCGAAAACATTTTCACCTCTTTATTTTTTTTTAAAGACAAATGTATTACCTACCAACAAATAAAAGAAATCGGCCTACCATTTTTTTTAAGAAGATAGGTCAAATATCAAGTGCGTCACTTTTTTTGGAACTGAGTGTAGTTGTCAGTTTTTCAAAATTTCAATAGGCTTTCCTCTTTCAATTATATTCTCTTAAATTATCAATAATAATTCTTATTTCATTTATAGGATGAACCTATGTAACAGAAGACATGAAATCTCATCTTCGACTTGTTGGTCATGCTCAAGAAGATGAAAATGTCCCACAATAAAGAACTTGAAAGATTGAGAAAGAAAGTACAATAACGTGAAACATGAGAAGGAAGAAATAATCAATAAGATACTTGAGTATGATGTAGATGGATAAATGTAAAATAATCAAATTAATAAATGGAATTTTTGCACAATAATTTATCTCATCAATTAAAATATGTGCTTATGATAGAGGTAGGTAATAGGTACCTATGTACCTTCATGAAACCTCAATAATATGAAGGATAATGATTCAGAAATAAACTAAACTTTGTTAATCTCAATATAGGTAGTTATTTAACGTCATGAAAATTTCTCAAAAATACTAGGTATTTACTAGATAAAATTAATAGTGCAGGTGTGAAAATAATGAATTGTACATATATATTTATTGAACTATAAGCCATTCTGAAACAAACAAACATTACATTTTTGCGTCGACCTCTACAAAAAATCACATTTCACGTTCTAATTTCCGTACGAAAAACCGATTATTTCTGAAGGGAAGTACTTTTCGTCCGCAGACACTAACTTTTCGTCCGCAAACTCCTTTCATACGCTGCAGGGTTGCCAGTTCTACTGAATTTTCAGTAGATCTCCAGATATTGCATATTGATCTACTGAAAAATATTTTGACATTCATTATTATAATCACTTATATTATTATTAATCTTTAGTTAATCACATAAGTACACATATGAATTGCATGATATTTGGGCACGATCTGTTTGAATTAATTTTACAAAATGAGTAATACATGTACATAATATAGGTAGTAGGACAATATTTTATCTGATTCAGATCAAATTCAATTTTGTAAATTATACCTTTGTTATAACAATTTGTTTGTTACGTTTAATTTTTTCATTTGTTTTGTATTTTTGTTGTTTATTTTTACTATTCGTTCCTGTTTTTTCATACTCAAATCTCATAGGTAACTATGTAACTGTATTTTGTGATATTTGTGAGTATATTTTTGAATTTAGAATTGGGAATATGATCATTTTTGTATGAGAATGTTTGTTTTGTTTGTTTTAATTTGGTTGGAAATTAGTTAGTATTCTGTTTACTAGAAGTACATAATGTTTTGACGTCATAGGTTTACTTATTTCATTATCCTTACTTGAAATTCGTAAAGCATAAAATATATCTGAGTTTTTGACAAGGTATTTACTGATAAAATGAAAATCGAACTGGCAACCCTGGTCCGCGCGGAGAGTGAGTCGACAACAAAAA